TTAAAAAAAAAAAAAAAGATCTGGAGAACTGGCTCAGTGGCTAAGAGCACTGGTTGCTCTTGCAGAGGACCTGGGTTCAGTTCCCAGCACTCACATGTCAGCTAACAACCTTCCAGTTCAGTTCCAGGGGATCCAATGCCTCTTCTGGACTGAGGTCACTGCACGCATGTGGTGCAATAACACATGCAGACAAAACACTTACACATAAAAGTAAAAATAAAGACAATTGTCTTCTCTTTTGGTGAAGTAGACACAAATTCAGGAAATTCACTAGACCATCTCAACATCTTGCTGTCCAAGTCTGACAACCTGAGCTCTATCCCTGGGACCCACACAGAAGGCAGAACTGACTTCCCCAAGTTGCCCTCTGACCTTTACACGAGTGCTATGGCAAGCATACATACACACAAAATAAAATCTGATTTAAAATTTAAGGCACAGGGAGATGTCTCAGCAGGTAAAAGGGCTTTGCCACACAAGCCTGATTACCTGAGGTGAAGCTCCCAGAACCTACATGCAGCGACAATGATATTGTTCACCGCCAAGACCAATGACTTGAGTTCAATCTCTGGTACCAACATGGAAAGAAATGACTACTAAAAGTTGTCCTCTAACATCCACATGTGTACCCACAAACAAATGTTATAAAAATTGAAGCTGTTATAAAAATTGAAGCTGTTTTATTTTTTCCTCTTTGAGGTGGGGTTTTGTATGAGCCAGGTTATAAACTCACTATGTAACAGGATGACCTTGAACTTCAGATCCTCCCATCTCTAACTCCTATGGGCTAGGATCACAGATGTTCAACAGTACAAACTTTTGTGGTACTAGGGATGAAACCCAGGGACTCATGTCTGTCAGGCAAGCATTCTACCAACTGAGCTATATCCTAGTCCTGTTTAAAACAAAACACAAAACTTCTCAATGTCTTAAAATAGTTTCAGGGTATCAGTATCTTATGTATCTGTGCTGCACAGAAACTTCAACTCCCTGACTTTATGGCAGAGTTGGAAAGAACTGGTCTCATCTTAGACAAGGGGATAACTTTAAGCAGGTTGTCTGAGGTGTTAGTGATGGAACCCAAGGCAGATGGCATGCTAAGACAAATGCTCTGCTGTCCAGCTACACCCCAGTCCTAGAAGGCAGTTTTGTGTGCAAACGGTGCTATGGATTAAGAGTACCTTGCATATTTGAAAAGGAGACCTTCACAGAGACCTCAGTGGCCAATGTAGCCTTGTGTATCTGTCAGTCTATCCCTACATACTCCCCACCCAGGCTTATTCCTGGAACAAAGAACTGTGCACAGGTTGGGCAGGAGGAAGTTGGGGACTTCACCTGCTCATCTTGCTCATCAGTGTGGGTTCCCGGCGTTACTCTTTCTGGCTCTTCCATAAAAACTCCATCTCTGTCAGGCAGAACACAGAGGTGTGAGCTGAGCAGACACAGCCCCCAGAAGCAGTTTCACAAGCCCAACCTCCTGCCACAGGACCCCTGAGTTGCACATGCCCATTTTAACACTAAGGAAGATCTTTAAACCCAGGTCTGACAACACCAGGAAACTGCAATTCCTTTCTGACTAGGGAGGAAAATTCTACATGAATTGAAAGGTTGATAGTCTAGCTCCAAATTCAACATCCCTACCAAGTTTATGGTTACCAGGGAAAGCCAATACAGAATTTTTTCCAATTTTTTTGGAAAATTTTCCAATGAAGACAAAGGATTCTTACTGTTCTGTGGATGTAACTCTTCGTCTCTTCTCATCCTGGATGGATAAGGAAAACACAATAATGTTGGTTTGAAATGAGAACCGCCCCCCCTCCAAGGCAGGAATCCAAAAAGGTTGGAAGACCAGGGACACCTGTAACTCCAGCACTCAGGGGGCTGAGGAAAGAGGGTCACTAAGTTCAAGGCCAGCCTCAGCTACCTAATTTCAGACCAGCCTGGGTTACAGTGACACCCTGTCTCAAAGCCCAATCAGTTGGGTATGGTGATGCACACCTGTGATCCTATCACTTTAGAGGTGAAGGCAGGAAGATCATAAGCTCAAGACCAGTCTTTTTTTTTTTTGGTCTTTTTGAAGCACGTTCTCCCTGCAGCCCCAGCTGTCCTGGAACGCACTATGTAGACCAGGCTGGCCTGGCCTTGAACTCACAGATCCGCCTGCCTCTGCCTCCCAAGTGCTGGGATTACAGGCATGCGCCACCACACCCAGCACTATTTATTTTTTATTGATGTATGTGTATGAGTGTATTGCCTACATGTAGGTAGGTGCACCTGTCTCATGCAATGTCCAGGGAGGTCAGAAGAGGGCGTGGGATCCCCTGGAACTGGGGTTATGGACAGTTATTAGGTGCCATGTGGGGGCTGGGAATCGAACCCAGGTCCTCTGTAAGAGCAGCCAATGCTCTTAACTGCTGAGACGTCTAAAAACCCTCAAAGAAATATTTGTACATATAAAACAAACTAGGGCTCAGGTTGGAATTCAGTAGTACAGTGTTTGCCTAGCATGTGCCAGAACTTGGGTTTGATCACCTGCACTGAAAACTAAGTAAAATTCTGCCTCCAGGGGCCGAAGAGTGGCTCAGTGGTTAAGAGCACTGACTGTTCTTGCAGAGAACCAGGATTAGGGTTCCATTCTCAGCACCTATATGACTCATAACCACCATCTGTAGCTCTAGTTCCAGGGGATCTGATGCCCTCTTCTGGCCTCCGCAGACACTGCATACATGTGGTACACTTACATCCAGGCACTCATACACATCCAGGCACTCATACACATAAAATAAAAAAATTTTAAAACTTTTAAAGTTCTGTCTCCAGGCCTTCAGACCCAACCTACATCAATTCTTGCGGGGCGTCCCACACATCGATTTTAAGCCTGCCAAGCATTATGAGCGCCAATTCTTCCAACAGCTTGCATCTCTGGCTCTCCCATGTATCTCTTCATACATGCACAATAGTTCACACACACACACCCTGCTGGTTGGTGGCTTCTATGGAGGACTACACAGGAACGAAAACAGCGTTCACCCACTTAAAACACTCAGAATGACAGTGCTCAGCATCAGTAGTGCTGCCCACCTGGTCTCTCTCCACTTCAGACTCCTCCGAGGCTATGCGTTCAGATTCTTCCTCTGGTTTCCGTTTGGCCGAGCTATCACACAGTAAGGGAGCTGTTAGCCCAGAGACCCTCAGCCCTCCAGGGGGACCTCAATGACTTCCCCTCTTCCTTCCCAGAAGAACTTCTTTGGGTCCAAACTGCCTTCTTCCTTCCCAGGAAAGACCCACTGCCAGGACTGAGCATTTTACTAGAACACTATGAGGCCAGGGAGACAGACCAGTGGGCAAAGTGCTTACTGTCTAAGCATCACAATCTACATGTGGATCCCCAGCCCACATAAGAGCTGGGTGACAGCACACATCTGCAATCCCAGCACTAGGGAGCAGACAACAGGCAGATCCTGGGGGCTGCCTCGACAGCTGCTGCTCTAACCAAAATGGTTAGTTTCAGCGAGACCCCCTTCTCAAAAAATAAGAAAGACAGCAACTGAGAACAATGCCCACTGTGAGGCTGAGACCTCCATACAACACCCCCACAAGGTAATCACACCCCCACAAATGCATATACTCTATGTAGTGTACATATGTACATGTATATATACATACAAGTAAAGCAGAGCTGGGGCAATGAGTCAAGTAGAGCCCCTGCCTAGAATCCCCCAGTCAGGGACTGGGATGCGGCTCAGTTGTAGAGTGCCTACCTAATATGTACCAGGCCTGGGTTTTATCTCCAATGCTTAAAGCCAAAAAATAAACCTTACGCACAATGGAAGCAAGAGCTGCTAAATTACACTACCAATTCCATTCATGTTTTGTCAAAAATACCAGCCTAGAGAAATGGTAAAAGTCCATTCATTACATACTGACCCTTTTGTGAAATGAGATGTGATGGTGGTCTGCCTGGTGGCTCTCCTTGTAACAATGGAGCTAGATGAAGCTTCAGCTGTTTAAAAATCAATACAAGAAAGAGGCAGCATGAACACAGACCCCCATTCATGGCATCTAAGAGATGACCACAGGTGGTCAGGTGCTGTGGGACTCAACACCTTTGGCTCTCTAGAAGTGTGGCTTGTATGTGTCAGCAGGCAGCCCCTGCCAACAGCATCATACAGTCCAGGCAGAGACCAGAAGGCCAGAGTCCAAGGATGGCTTCTAGTGACCACCCACTATGTTCACACTGTTACAAAGATGGAGACTCGAAAACTAAACGCTGATCATTCAGGGAACCTTCTGTGCAAGTCTAAGCAAGGCAAGAAGTGCACAAAACAGACCAGAGGGGGCAGCAGTGCACTCAATGGTAAAGGCTTGTACAGCATGCATGACACCTTGGTTTCCTTCCCCAGTACATCAGAAAAGGGAGACTGGATATGTGGCTTAGAAGAGTGGTTCCCTAGCCCAGTCTGCCATTCCTAGCACTGTAAAAGAGACCCAGAGACAGAAGGAAGAAATGGAAGCAAGCAACCAGAAAAGAAACTGAACCAGGAAGCAGTGCAGGGAGGGGCCTATGGGTAAAGATGGATTGTCCCTTCAGATGAGCCATAGCCTCCACCAACATCAAAAACAAGTGAGGGGCTAGAGAGCTGGCTCAGTGGTTAACAGCACTGGTTTCTCTTGCAAGGGACCTGGATTTGGTTGCCAGCATCCACATGGCAGCTACCAACCATCTGTAAGTCCAGGCAATCCAACATCCTCTTCTGGTCTCCACAGGCACTGCACACACACGGTACACATAAATGTAGGCAAAACACCCATACACAATTAAAAAAAAAAAATTTTAAAACAGGTCAGGTAAAAGGTGTAGTAGCTCAGGCCTGTAACCCCAGCACTCGGGACACTGAAGCAAGAGGATGGAGTTCAAAGGCCAACCTGAACTACATAGCCAGACCTGACTTACACAACCAGAAAATGTCCAAACAAGCAAGCAAGCAAACCCAAGCCATGTGTCCTTACGGCCGGTCTCACCGTAGGACTTGCTTCTCCTGGATGCCCGAGGCTTGGGGCTGGGTCTGGGGAGAGGGTTTGAGTCAGCCATTCCTGCTCTGCGGCCCTCACGGCTTGGCTGGCTCCCGTTGGCTGCACAGCCGTTGGCTTCTCGGGCGAGAGACTGAGCTCCGTTCTCCAAGGACAAATCTTTATTTAAAAGGGATTTGACTTTAGCCAGGTAGCCCTCCTACAGCGGGAAAGGATAATTTAGCAGTGAATGCACACGAGTGGTAGGAAGACACCAGGTCAACATCACAGGCAACAGGTGCCTCTGCCTCCAGGGGGGGCAGACCAGTCCAGGCAGGTGCGCTTCTGGAAGGCAGAGTGCTAAGAACCTACTTACCTCAGATAATTCCTCTTTATGTAATTTGGTCTCCAAATCACATAACTGATTCTTTATTTCTGTTTGCAGAAATTCATGCAAGAGGTTTAATTTTTCCTTAACGCACTCCTGTGGGAGAGACACAGGTTGAGGAAGAGGCCTTTAACTCCCAAGCTAGCAACTAATGGACTAATGTGATTAAGCTGCCTGGTCACCTCACTGGTTGTGTGCTAGGCAGCCTGATCTCAGCCAAAAACTGAATATAAGCTGGGCATCCATGGTGGACACCTGTGACATCAACACTCAAGGAAGGCTTAGTCAGGACAAAGTAATTTTTAGTAGGCTGGAGAGATGGCTCAGTGGTTAAGAGCACTGGCTGTTCTTGAAGAGGACCCAAGTTCAGTTCCCAGTGCCCACATGGCAGCTGACAACTGTCTATAATTCCAGCTCTGAGAGCGCCAAGGTCTTCTTTTGGCATCCAAAGGTACTGCACACATGGGTTCACTTGCACATACGCAAGCAAACACTAATACACACAAAAACATCTAAAGACCCTATCACAAAATGAAAATAAGGGGCTGCAGAGATGGATCAGTGGTTCAAGCACTTTGTGCACAAGTATGAGGACCAGAGTTCAGATCCCCAGCACCCACATAGAGCCTGGTTGATGTCGTAGCCCACCTGTAATCCCAGCACTTGGGAGGTAAAGACAGGGATCCCTGGAGCAAGCTAGCCAGCTAGACTAACCAGTGAAATGTCAGGTTCAGTGAGACTCTGCCTCAAAAAAGTAGAATGATCGAAGATACCCAACATCAACCTCTGGCCTCCACATGCACACACACGTACCTGACCACGTATGCACATATATACATGCAAAATAAAAATTTCAAAGGAGAAAAACCCAAAACAGATTACCTTTTCTGTTAAACTGTCTCTTTCCAAGTCTTTGAGCCTGGATAAAAGAAATGACAAAATATTAAGCAACCTGTGAGAATACGATTTTAAAGGATTTGGGGGTACTGTGTTGGTACATGCCCATGGTACTAGCTGCTTAGAAGACTGAGGCAGGATCACTTGACAAGTTTTCAGTCAGCCTGGGCAACATAGACTACTATCACCCCCACCCCCAAATGGGTAGAACAATCTTTTCACAAGTATTGGAAATGTACTTTCTCCCACCCCTTGCCCAATGCCTAGCATTCACTTTTCCTGGAGACAGGTTCTCATGTAGCCCAGGCTGAATGCCAACTCATCATGCAGCAGCCCTTGACCTCCTGCTCCTCCTGCTGCATCTCCTGCATGCTCCGACTCCCTACATGCACTCTGTAGTGCTATGTATCATGTCCTTTCTAAGCTCAACAATGCTGGGGTCAGTTTCCTGAAGAGGATGCAGGTAGCCCAGGACCTGGAACATAGGCTAGCCATCATGGCTCATGCCTGTCATCCCAGAAGGCTGGTATTCAGAAGGCTGAAGCAGGAAGAACACAAGTTAAAAGCCAGCCTGGGCTGCATAGTGAGCCGATCTCAGATAAGGCTATGGCTGAGATGGTGGAGTGCCTGCCCAGCATGAATGAAGCCTTAGCTTCCATTCCCAATTCTTCATAAACTGGGTGTGGTGGTACACCTAGGGACAGGAGGATCAAGAATTCAAAGTCATACTTGGATGGAAAAGTAAACTCAAGACTAGTCTGGGCTACATGAGACCATGCCTCAAAGAGAAGAAAAAGGGCACTAAGAAAGGAAGGGTGCTAGGTATGACACCTTTGGTCCCATCGCTCGGGAAGTGAAGCAGGTGGATCTGAGTTCAAAGGCAGCCTGGTCTACATAGTGAGTTCCAGGCCAGCTGGAGCTAATGGGTATCTCAAAAAAGAAAAAAAAAAAAAAAGGCGGGGGGCATAGGTCACAGAGACAGGGCCCCCTGTAATCCAGATGACCTAAAGGCCAGGACACGACATAAATTATGTCAGCATGAGCAGACCATAACCACACTGTGGGGACCAGTCAGCTGATGCTCCTGAAGGCCAGGTGTGGCTGGCAGCCTTCTACTCTGGAACCCATGAAATAGGGGAATTGAGGAGTTTGTGGCAACAGGCGTGCTCACATAACAGGAGCTAAAGATGAAGTCAGAAAAGTCTGCTGGCAAGCTGTGAATGCAGCTCAGGGGCACAATGCTAGCCTCGCTCCACCCCTGGTACTGAAGGGATGGGGAGGGTATCAAAATCAAAGGAGACTGAAATCTCCAAGACCTCACCCTCCAGAACCTGTGTGGCTAACTATTCCACAGCACACAATTCTCTCAAGTTTGTCCAAAACTTCATGGTCAGATTATTGAAGATTAGTCTGCCTCTTCCGGGGGAGGGAAGGGAGCAGGAGACCAGAGAGAAGAGACAGAAGTGGCAAAACTATGACCCCAGCCTAGGAGGGGGAAACAGGTCTAACCAGCTGGGTCGGTGTCTGTTAGAAGGGAAGGTGCCCCAGGCAGGGGCCAGGCCTGTGCCATCTGTCTCCCAGCAGCCACACAGTCTAGGTACTGGTTATCACTAGCTGAAGGGCAGACTTGGTTTTCTCAGCAACCTCTGCAGATGCTAAGTCAAAGATCAAACCAGGAGCCCAAGAGACAAGCAGTACAAGACCAGGGCCACTGTGGTTGCTGTGGGTGCTGAAGGACCTTGCTTCCTGTTCTCAGCACCACTCCCACCCAAGGGCGTCTACTACATGCCAGACCTCATTCTAGGCAACGAGCTGGGTGACTGGATGGGTCACTGGGCAGGACCTGCCAAGTGAGCAGGGAAGGATTTTACAGAAGAAAACATGCTTAGCAGGTATGGTGTAAATATGGTTACCTACAGGGAAGCACTAGAAAGGGCTGGAGGGTTGGCTCTGTGGTTAAGAGCACTGGCTGCTCTTAGAGGATCTGGTTCAGATCCCAGCATCTACATGGCAACTAACAATTATCCCTAATTCCAGTTCCAGGGGATCCCAAGCCCTCTTTTGGCCTCCTCGGGCATTGCATACATGTGGTACACTTATATGCATGCAGGCAAAACACTAATACACATTAAAAAAATGAAAATTAACAAAGAAGCTCTGGTGAGCTGGGACCATGGCTCGGTGGGTAGAGGGCTTGCCTTGCATGCATGGTCCTGGGTTCCATACCCAAGCACCTTGTAAGCACCTTGTATGGTGCCACACATCTGCAATCCCAGCACTGGGGAGGTGGAAGGAAAATGATCAGAAATTCAAGGCTGCCCTGGGATACTGATGCATTTTTAAAAATTCACTCTAGAGTCGGGAGTGGTGGCACACACCTTTAATCTCAGCACTCAGGAGGCAGAGGCAGGTGGATCTCTGAGTTCAAGGCCAGCCTGGTCTACATGGCAAGTTCTAGGCCAGCTGGGGCTACAGGGAGACCCTGTTTCAGAAAGACCAAAAAAAAAACAAAACAAAAAAAAAAAACTGTAGAATCTAAACGTTTTGGTTATTACAGACCTGAAATCCTAGCATGCAGGAGGCTTAAGCAGAAAGAGCAGGAGTTTGAGGCCAGCCTGGGCTACACATCAAGACCCTATCTCAAAAAACTCAGTTGCCAGGCACAATAACAAATGTCCAGAATCGCAGTGTGCAGGGCGCTGAGATGGCAGGATCTCAAGTTCCAGGTTAGCCTGTGCCACATAGAGCAAGATGCAATCTCAAGAACAAGTGGGCAAGAAGGTCCAAGCAGACGGCGTGAGACATCTTTAGTGCCACACTAGCCTAACTGGCCACGATTCATGCAGAACTGCTTCCAACAGTGATTAGTCATCTACGGAGATAAAACAGACATCCAGGGACAGTGCCACATGCCCAGAGGCAGGAGGACAACAAGTTACAGGCTAGCCTCGGCCATACAGCCTGACCCAATCGCAAAAGAAACACAGGGCCAGCGGGATGGCTCAGCAGGCAAAGGCACATTCCACCAAGCCTGGCCACTTGAATTTGACCCCCTACAAGCATTAATCTTGTTCCAAGGTCAACAGATTAGAGAATCATGAGAGAGGTAGACCCGCTGTATTTGAATCACTTTAAAACCTTTTTTTTTTTTCGTCTTTTTGAGACAGGGTCTCCCCATAGCCCCGGCTGTCCTGGAACTCATTATGTAGACCAGGCTGGCCTCAAACTCACAAAGATCTGCCTGCCTCTGCCTCCGGAGTGCTGGGATTAAAGGCATGTGCCACCACACCCAGTTAAACTTTTTAAAAAAAAATTTATTATTTTTATGTATGTGTATTGCCTGCACGTAGGTAAGTGCACCCGTGTCATACAATGCCTGAAGAGGACAGAAGAGGCTGTTGGATCCCCTGGAACTGAAGTTACGGACAGTTAGCTGCCATGTGGGTGCTGGGATTCGAACCTGGGTCTTCTGCTAAAACAGCCAGTGTTCTTAACTGGTGAGCCATCTCCCCAGCACAGCACACCCCCCCCTTTAACTTTGAGACAGGGTCTCCCTGTAGCCCCAGCTGACCAGGCTGGCCTCAAACTCAGATCCAACTGCCTATGCCTCCCAAGTGTTGGGATTAAAGGTATGTGCCCAGCAGACGCACATTTTTAACAAAATCAATCTGACAAAAACATACAAACCAGACTGAAGAGATTACAGCAGGTTAGGTTATTTGACTATCCCCCAACCAGAAATGCTGATCTCAAATAGTTTGGCAACAAGACCTGCAAGGTAAGCCCCAGGTTCTAGGCATTGCACCCTTTTGTTGGGTTCTGTGATGGAATCCAGGGCCTCATATACGGAGAACACATTGTGCCACTGAGCAACACCCCCAGCCTCCTGGGGCAAGGAGCATGGGGCAGGGCTGATATGTTTGGCAGCAAAATGACACCCCTCCTCAAGATGCTACTGCCCTGATCCCCAGAATTTGTTATGCAGCTACAGCAATTCTTCTGCAGATGCAATTAAGGTTCCAGAGCTTTCTGTGGCTTATCCAGCCTGGGTTTGCTGGCTTTAAAGACCAAGAAAGGGATGGCTGGTCAGCAGCTCCTATTTAGAGACAAGGAAACAGATCTTACTAGACATGCTGGTGTATACCTACAATCCCTAGTGGATTTCATAAGGCTTTTGTACAGATTTTAGGAAACCCATCCACTACCCCCCCTTTTCTCCAATTCCTCCATTCCCATCCCTGATTATTTTTAATGTTTTATTATTTTTATTTTGTGTGTATAAGTGTATTGCCTGCATGTATGTGAGTGCACCCGTGTCATGCAATGCTGCAGAGATCAGAAGAGGGCTTCAGATTGCCCTGGAACTGGAGTTAAGGACAGTTGTAGCCACCATGTGGGTGCTGGGAATAGAACCCCGGGTCCTCTGCAAGAGCTGAGCCAACTCTCCAGCCCCTGATTAATATTTTAGCCCTCAGTATTCTACCACTTTCATTTCACATGTGTTAGACAGGCTGGAGCAGGAGGATCACAAGTTCCAGGTCACCCTTGGCTACATAATAAGACACCAGCCTGGGCTACACAAGACTGTCTTAAAAACATTAGTTTGGGTATGGTGGCACATGCTTTTAATCTCAGCACTCCCATGGCAGATCATAGGCGAAGACTGAAACAAAAGCTGATAGGTCAGCTAAGCAAAGCTGTAAGAACAGAAGACGCCTGCTTCAAAAGGTAGAAGGTGAAGACAGATTCCCCGAAGTTTAAATGTAGGGTTGGAGAGACGATTCAGCAGTTAAGAGCACTGGCTGCTCTTGCAGAGAATCCAAGTTCAGATCCCAGCACCCACAAGGCAGCTAACAACGGTCCATAATTCCAGTCACACAGGATTCCACACCCTCTGACTTTCATGGGCATTGCACAACAAGAGTGCACTTACATGCAGGCAATACACAAAATATTTTGGTCTTTTGAGACAAGGTCTCCCTGTAACCCTAGCTGGCCTGGAACTCACTGTGTTAGACCAGGCTAGCTTTGTACACAGATTGCTTCCCAAGTGCTAGGATTAAAGGTGTGCACGATGCCCGCCTAATATAAAATATTTAAAAGTCAGCTGACCTCCACACAACTGCTGAGTACACACATACACACACACAAAGCAGAGCCAGGTGTGGTGATTCACACCTGTCGCCACAGTACTCAGGAGGCAGAAGCAAATCAGGAGTTCAAGAATACCCAGAGCCACGTCCAAATGCTGTCTCAAAGAGGTTTGAAATTAAAAAAACTGGGGCTGGAGAGATGGGTCAGAGGTTAAGAGCACTGGCTGCTCTTGCAGAGGGTTTGATTTCCAGCACTCACATGGCGGCTCAACCATCTGTAACTCCAGTTCCAGGAATCCAACACCCTCTTCTGATTTCTGTGAGTAATGCATGACACAGGTACACTTACATGCAGGCAAAAAAAACAAAAACAAAATAAAATTAAAAAAAAAAAAAAAAAAAAAAAAAAAAGAAAGAAAGAGAAATTATAGAGAACTGAAAGAAAATAGAGCCAGCTAATTTTCAACAAGGAAAGTGAAGTACCAGTATCCTCGGGAGAAGCTGTATGGCCTCATTCTGAAAAGGAATAAGAGGTGAGGTGAGGGTTAAGCTCATTCCCACCTGGCAAGGCCCATGGCTACCTTTTTCTGACCTACAGGACTGGGACTTAAAAGACAAAGGGTTTGCCCAAAGTGCAGCTCAGCTCAGTGTTTGCCTAGTTTTCAAGAGACCTCCCTCCCCCCAAAATAGAAAAAACCCCTTCAACCCTTAATAAAGGGTTAAAAAACAGGACTAAACCAGGTTTGGTAGCTCACCATGCCTGCAACCCCAGCACTTGAAGGCTGAGTCAGGTGGATCACAAGTTCAAAACCATCCTTAGCTACATAACAAGTTTGAGGCCAGCCTGACCTACATGAGACCCCGACTCAAAAAAAAAGTATGTGTGGGGGGACTTGCTCAGCAGTTAAGAGCACTGGCTGCTCTTGCACAGAACCTAGATTAGGGTCCCACCACCCTTATGGCTAACTAACTACAGTTCCAAGGAATTCGACACCCTCTTCTGGCTTCCATAGGCATTACAGGACATGGATGCACTTACATGCAGGTATTACACTCATATACAAAAAACAATGTTAAAGTTGGGCATGGTGGCACACTGCCTTTAATCCCAGCCCTCGGGAGGCAGAGGCAAGCGGATCTCTGCAAGTTCAAAGCCAACCTGGTCTACATAGAGAGTTCCAGGCCAACTGGAGCTACAGGAGACCCTGTCTCAAAAAGGCCAAAAAAAAGTATTAAAAATAGATTTTTTTAAAATATGTAAGAGTGCATTGGGGCTGGAGAGATGGTGCAGCAGTTAAGAACACTGGCTGTTTTTGCAGAAGACCCAGGTTTGAATCCCAGCACCACGTGGCAGCTAACAACTATCCATAACTCCAGTCCCAGGGGCTCCGACAGCCTCTTCTGTCCTCCGCTGGCATTGCACGACACGGGTGCACTTACCAACACGCAGGCAATACATGCATACACATAAAATAAAAATATTAAAAAAGTGCATTGCCTGCATGTACATAAGTGCACCCGTGTTGTGAAAAGTTCTCGGCAGTCAGAAGGAACCAGAGTTACATAAGGTTGTTAGACACCATGTGGGTGCTGGGACCAGAATCCTTTGCAAGTGCAGTCAGTGCTCTTAACCTCTTGAGCCACCTCTTTGCCCTAAAATAATATTTTTAAAAAGTGAACAGGATGGCAGTATATCTCAGTGGTACAGGGCCCCAAGGGTCAATCCCCAGAAACTAAAGAGTGGATATAAGCCAGTTTGAGGGGACAGAAGGTGGCATCCAGCCTCATGCTGGTCAGTCTATATAGAACCAAGAGAAGGTCTATGTGGTCATAAGGACACATGAGACCGGCAGGTGGCTAGATTCCAGGCCAAAGGTGCCAGGCAGCACATGAGGCAGGGAAGCTACAGGTTCCAACCAGTTTTAGGAGGTTCCTAGAAGCCAGTCCTGGGTATTGACAGGGAGGTCTCTCGTACTATGAAAATGAAACCTTAAACAGGAAAGGGGGAAAAAAGCCAAGCTAAAGGATGTAGCTCATCCTGAAAGACACAGGGGTTGTTTGGAGACAGACTCACTATGTTTGCTATCTAGCCCAGGCTAGCTTTGAATGTGTGACCCTCCTGCTTCAGCCTAAGTGCTAGGGCTACAAGTATGTGCCACTCACACCTGGCTAAAAAGCATGATTTTACTTAGAAATTGTGGGGTATACTATATTTCAAAGACGTTTGGAGCTCTGCGTGGTGGCCTAGGTCTTTAATCCTACTCCAGAGGCAGAGGGATTAGATCTGAGGTCAAGGCCAGTCTGGTCTACAGTGAGTTCCAGGGCAGCTGGGGCTACAGGGAGACCGTGTCTCACAAAAAGTCAAGCAAGTATGGTGTCATGCACATAATCCCAATTCGTAGGTATGAAGTCAGGAGGATCAAGAGTTCAAGCCTAGCCAAGCTAGTCTGAGGCCAACCTGCCTGGGCTACAAGGAGACCCTTTCTGAAAAACCAAAATAAAATGAACCAAACAAAAGGCCAGAAAAAGAAAGGTTATACATCTGATTGCAAATCTAATTTAAAAGATCCATTGGATGCTGTGCCTATGTGTGTATTTTCAGCACAGTGAACCTGTGTTTAAAAAATCTGTTAAAGGTCTCAAGCTGATGATGTCTGTATGGTTGAAAGCAAACATTCAAAACTTTAACAGTAACCCCAGCACTGAGGAGAGGCAGGAAGACAGGAGTTCAAGACGACCTGAGAAACTTACCAAGAGCCTGTGTCAAAATAAGAAAAATTTATTCCAAAAGGGCTGGAAGTTAATTCTGAGGTGGAAAGCTTGCCTAACATACACAAAGTCCTGAGTTCAATCCTGAGAAATGGGGGCTTGACAGGAAGAAAAGGGGTCACTTCAATACCCTCTTCCCCTCACTTTGTTCTCCAAAGGCCAAACTGGAACTGACTGGCCTGGCACTACCACAGTGAACAAATCCAGAGACAGAAATGGCAGTAGATTCACAGATCTGGCTGGAAAGTGTCCAGGACTGTTCAGTGTCATGATTAATGCAACCTCACAAAGGGACCAAACCTTCAGGAATGAACTAAATGTCCTTCCAGAACAGGAGGCAGGGACCACTATTCCCCCCAAACTGTGTGCAGGAGTCCCTAGGGTGGCATGGATTGCAATAGTGGGGCCCATTCCCCACCCCACTCCCTGTGATACACACACTGGATAGGGCACAAAACATCTTCGAATGCTCTAAGATGAAAAGGCACTGGTTCCCATGGATTGCAATTGGGGGCTCCCCTTCCCTCACTCTCCAAGACATATATTGGCCAGTAGAACTTTCCTGATCAAAGGAGCTTGTTCACAGATAATAGGGGGAATTCCTATCTGTCCTTCCCTCCCTGGGACACACTGGACAATGCAAAACCCCCTTGATGGTTCCAGGATCACAGGAGTCAGTTTATGTAGACTGCAAAAGTGGGGACCCTCCCCAGGATATACACATTGGACAATGCAAAAACCCTCCTCGGTCACAGGAGCTGGCTGGTTAAAAAAAAAAAAAAAAAAAAAAATACGGGGTGCAGGCTGCCCAGACCCTGGGGTACACTGAGAGAAGCTCCTAGAACTCTTGGCAAGGGCAGGGCTGACACCTCAGTGGCAGACGGAGGGGAGATCCCCCGGAAACCTGGGCTTTGCAGCCCTGCTCCTCTTTATACACCGGCCTTCCCCATGCCCAAAGATGTCCAGGGCTGGAGATCGCTAAGGGGGACCCGGTGAAGCAACCCTAGAACATGGGGGGACACGCAGGCAGGGAAGCGGAAGTGGAGGCCAGAGCTCCAAACTTGGGGGTGTCCTCAGGCCTGGAGGGGGAGTTACCCACTTCCTGAGATCCCAGGAGCCCAGTTGATCCAAGAAGGGTACCCCCTAGGGAGCTGTAGCCCAAGTTTGTTCTATTTGAGGGGGATTCAGGAAGAAGCCCCTCCCTCTTCCCCCTCCAAGTTTCCAGTCAGATAGCTGCTTAGCTAGGGAGGCCGCAGCCCCATTTTGGCGCCAAACAGCCCCAGGGAAACGCAAGACCGGAAGCGCGGCCCGCACCAACCGCTGCCGCGCGCGCCTCACGGAGCCTCCCCACGCATGCGCACAGTGCGGCTGTCAGCAGCTGAACACCCCAGGGCCGGGCTGGGGCGACCCTCAAGTGAAGCCATCAGCCTCGGCCCCCCACAGCCCCTCGCGTGTCACCTACCGCCTGCGGACATGCTCGGGCAGCGAGATGGCTGGCGAGGCGAGCGCAGGTACCCGGGCCGGGGCGGTTCTGGCCGGCATCGCGGACAAGACAGCGACAAGACAGCGCTGGCAGCTGAAGAGCGAGGCCCAGGCTTTTTCGCGCGGAAACCAACAGGGAGGGGGCGGTGCGAGCCGAGGCAGGGCGTACCATGTGGAAAACGGGCTGCGGGGGCGACTTGCGCCAGGCCCACTGCACATGCGCAAGGCGCACACACCCCTGCCAAAGAGCAGTGGGCTAGTCCGAGCTGAGAGCTTAGCCTCCACCCACACCGTGCTGACACCCCCGCCCCCAGCTGGCTTCATCCAGCCTTGTACCCCAGCCATCCTTTCTATTCATTCTCAGAGCGTTCTGCAAATAAAGCAGCAAGCCCTAGTGCAGAAGAATCTATGAACTCTTGATATTGAGGAGATGGCTCAGCAGTTAAGAGCAAGCCTATGCTGCTGTTCTAGAGGCTCCAAGTTCAGGTCCCAGCATCCATGTCCAACAGCAGACAGCACCCTCTTCTGGCCTCTGGCGGGTACTGCACTGGTGAACTTAACCTCCCCGCCCTCCCAGGCATACACAAAAATAAACCTTTGCAGAGTTGGAGCGGTGGCTCAGCCAATAAGAGCACTGGCTGCTCTTGCCGAGGAACGAGATTCAATTCCCAGCACCCACATGGCTTCTGTTACAACCATCTGTAACTTCAGATCCAGGGGATCCAACACCCTGTTCTGACCTCCATGGGCATTGTATGTACATGGTGCACTTACATGCAGGCAAAACAAAATTAATAAACTTTAAAAAAGTAAAACAGCCGGGCATGGTGGCACACGCCTTTAATCTCAGCACTCGGGAGGCAGAGGCAGGCAGATATCTGTGAGATTGAGGCCAGCTTGGCCTACATAGTGAGTTCCAGGACAGCCAGAGCTACATAGTGAGACCGTGTCTCAAAAAAATTTTTTTTTAAAGAGAATTATTTTGATATATCACAGTGAAAGATTTATCGTCCTCTTTTTTTTTTTTTTTTTTTTTTTTTTTAAAAAAAAAAAAAAAAAAAAAAAAAAAAAAAAAGTAAAAACTTATGAGCTCTTGAATGAAAGGCATCACATCTAACCTTTCATCTGGAGATACTTAGCTCACAAGTGAGATACATAGAGCACAAGTGGAGTGGGTGCCTGGAAAGCCCAGAGTCCTGGGCTCTGTCCCTAGCTAGCACCTACTGAATAATTAAGGATGGAGCAGATTACTGGGAGGAGAGAACACCTAAAGTTGCCCTCTGATGAGACATACACTGTGGCACCCAGTGCAACCCACACACAAACATAAAAGTGTAAATCCTCAGCCAGGAATGGTAGTGGACATCTATAATCCCAGCACTCAGGGAACCAAAGGCAGGAGGATATGGAGTTTAAGGCCAGCCTTACTACACAGTGAGGTCCAGGCTGGGCCTGAGATACATACAGAGACTATTAAAAAAAAAATTATCAAGCATGGTGGCACCTGCCTTTACTCCCAGCATACAGGAGGCAGAGGCAGATGGATCTGAGGTTGAGGCCAGCCTGGTCTACATAGGGAGTTCCAGGCCATCAGAGGCTACAGGGAGACCCTGTCTCAAAACCAAAAAAAAAAGGGGTTAAAATTAACTTGGCATGGCACAACCTAGCATAGAGACAGACCACAAGACCAGACCCAGACAGATCAAGACACCAAGACCAAACCCAGACAGACTCCAAGACTATACAGAGCTAGTGGCAAAGAGACCCAGAGATCCACCACCAGCAGCTTCTTTGGAGACCTCTCCACAGGCAGATTTTGGATTGAGACAAATCTCATACTGTAGCTAGGCTGGCCTGGAATTCACTAGGCAGCCAAGCCTGGCCTTGAACTTCCAGCACTCTGTACCTGCCGCAGCTTATTCTAAGTTCTGGGATGACAGGTGTTCCCACCACATCCCACAGAAAGATTTACCCAGGAGCCCCTGTGAGCTGAAAGCAAGCCCCAAGTCTTATCAGCTCCCCTGCAACCCAGCTGGGCTGCCACCACTAACTGCAGGAACCCAATTCTAGCATGTTCCTCCCAGGTCACCAGTGGCCTCAAAGTTTTTTTCCCCTACACCTGTGCACTTCAGCAAGCGCATAAGTAAAGGGGGGTGGCAGGGCAGACAGGAAAGGCGGGAGGGAGACAGGCAGGAAAAGTGCATGGGCAGGGGATGATGACATGACATGGGGACGGATGACGCACACAGGACACACAGGCAAAAGGGGGTTGACAGGCGGGGTAAGGGGATGAGGCAGACAGAAAATGGTGGGGGGGAGGCAAGCAGGCAGGCAAATTGAAGAGATGCCTGTGGCACCGTGACAGAGCCTTTCCGTAGGTTTGGAGAGACTGGATCCTAGCTCCAGTACCAGAGAAGAAAACCCCTATCCCCGAACACCTGGACCCAATTCCTGAACACAACCCCCCATGCCCAGACAGGGATGAGGGGTAGGATGCTGATAGCATCCAGCTCCTTCAGTACGACTGCCTAGACTAGAAAGTCCTGTCCTAATCTAGAGCCCCATACATTGAAAGAATAAACTAAATCCTACCAAGAAACCAGGTGCAGAACCAGGCTGTATTTTGCTGGTACTCCCAACACTTCAGAGGTGGAGGCAGGAGGATCAGAAGTTCAAAGTCATTCTAGACTACAAAACTTCAAGGCCAGCCTGGGCTACATGAGATACTGACTCGAAGCAAACAGGAGTTGGAGAGCTGGCTCTGTGATTAAGAGCACTGGCTGTTCTTGCAGAGGACCCAGGCTTGGCACCCACATGGTGGCTAACAACCATGCCCAACACCAGTTTCAGGACATCCCATACCCTCTTTTGTCATCCAAGGGCAATGAATGACACAGGTACATGTACATGCAGGCAATACACACATACACATAATTTTTTGAAATAAAAAAGCAAAGCTGGGTGTGTTGATGCATCCTTTGATCCCAGCACTAGGATAGCAGAGGCAGGTGGATCTCTGAAATGGAGGCCACCCTGATCTACATAACCAGTTCCTGGCCAGCTGGGCTACAAGGAGACCCTGTCTCAAAAACAGAACTGAAGAGGGTGAAAGAGCAGATTTATCAAAACAAGGGGTTACGGGGGTCAGATGAAAGCATACTATTCGGTAGGCTAATTTAATATAATTTGGGTAAAGATACTTGCTGCCAAAGCCTGGCAGCCTGTGTTTGATCCCTGAGGCCCATAGGTGGAAGGAGAGAACCAACTCCTGAAAGTTGTCCTCTGACATCCACAATCACTGTCACATGAGCCCACACACAAAATGTTCTAAAATGTATTTTTTAAAACTGGGCTGGTTGGGGCTGGAGAGATGGCTCAGTGGTTAAGAGCACGGACTGCTCTTGTAGAGAATGTGGGTTTGATTCCCAGCACCCACACGGTGACTGACAATCTGTTAACTCCAGTTCCTTGGGGGATCCGATGGTCTAACCTCTGCTGGCATTGCAAGACACGGGTGCACTTACATCCAGACAGAGCACTCATGCACATAAAAAATAAAATATTTTAAAACTGGGCTGGTAAGATGGTTCAGAGGGTAAAGGTGCTTGCCACCAAGTCTTGACCTAAGTTCAACCCCCTGCAAGACCCACGTGCCAGAATCAAATCACAAAAGATGTCCTCTGACCACCACACATGCCCAGTGGTATGAGAACACCCATAGCCATGAACATACTAATTTTTTAATTTAAAAATTAAGCTGAAGCTGAGTGTGGTTGCAAATGTCTTTTAATCCCAGCACTTGAGAGACAGAGGCAGGTGGATCTGCCATTGAGGCCAGCGTGGTCTTTTACATAATGAGTTCCTTGCCAGCTGTCTCAAAAAAAAAAAAATTAATCTGGACGTGGTGGCACATGCCTTTAACCCCAGCACTCAGGAGGCAGATGCAGGTAGATCTGCGATTTAACCCCAGCACTCAGGAGGCAGATGCAGGTAGATCTGCGATTTAACCCCAGCACTCAGGAGGCAGATGCAGGTAGATCTGCGATTTAACCCCAGCACTCAGGAGGCAGATGCAGGTAGATCTGCGATTTAACCCCAGCACTCAGGAGGCAGATGCAGGTAGATCTGCGATTTAACCCCAGCACTCAGGAGGTACATACAGGTAGATCTGCAAGTTCCAGGCCAGCCAGAACTACATAGTGAGACCCTATCTCAAAAAAATAAAATTAACAACAACAACAAAAAAAAAAATCAGCCTCCTCCTGACACACACACCCTCTCCAGGCTTAAGTGATTTACCCAAATCACAAATACAATCCAGGGAAAGCCCAGTACTCTCAAGTGCACTGGGCAAAATTACCTCCTTCTTACGGGCCCTTTGAGCAAGCCCAGAGCACCCAACCTGGCATCACAGATGCTAGCTGCCAGCACCTGCCAGTTTTGATCAGAGCCTTTGAATCCATGAATCAGCAGCTGACCTGCCCCTCAGGACCACCTCCCCATCCTGAGCTCCAGCCTCACCACCTCCCTATAGCTGGGAAGTCAGGTGCATCTGAACATGATCCTCACTAGACACACTGGAGTGACCTCTCAGCTTACTGTAGCCACAGCCCCCATGGTGGCCCACAGACCTGATAAAAGGCTGGCTCTCAATCAGAATTCCTTAAAATTCAAAGTCAGGCCCATCCCTTCTTTGTTGTGGGGGCAAGAGAGTTAAAGAGATGTTTCACCCAAAATGATATTGAACTGAACAAGACTTGGCTGGTTCAACCGCCAGAGTTTATTTGTTAACAGGAAATGTAATATAAAATCTCAATATAGGGGCTGGAGAGCTAGCTCAGCAGTTAAGAACACTGAGGACCCAAGTTCCCAAAACCCACATAACTAACAATCCCTGTAACTCCAGTTTCAGGGAATCAGATGCCCTCTTCCGTCCTCCATGAGCACTGCATGACACTTACATGCAGGCATAACACCCATACACATGAAATGAAATGAAATTCAAAAATGTAAATTTGGGGCTTTTTTTTTTTGAGCCAGGGATACCTTGTTTCAAAATACAAAAAAATTTAGTCACAACTTAGAAACATTAAGATGCATTCAAGAAATCAGATCTGCTTGTGAACTATATAACTGTTCCTGTAAGTCACCAATACTGCCCCCGCTTTTTAAGTGTGATCTTCCTTCCTTCCTACTCACATCCAATCCCAGTCTCTTACTTGGGC